GAGTGTTCCTTAGCCATGAGGAGGATGTCGTCTAGGTATACGATTAGACAAACTCCCCGACTGCGTAACCAGGCCATCACAGGTCGTAGTAGCTTCGTGAAGCACCACGGTGCTGAGGAGAGGCTGAAGGGTAGGCAGGTAAACTGCCAAGTCTCGTGCTGCCAGTGAAAGCGTAGGAGGTCTCGAGATGCCACTGCAATCGGTACGGTCAGGTATGCGTCTTTGAGATCTAGCTTCGCTAGCCAATCTCCGTGAAGGAGAAGATCTTGTAGTAGGTGAATACCTTCCATCTTGAAATGGCGGCACCGGACTATGGCATTGAGGGGGTGCAGATTTATGACGGGTCTCAATTGACCGCCTTTCTTTTCCACCAGGAAAATGTTGCCTATTACACCTACGGGATTGAGGAGCCCGTTCTATAGCCCCTTTGATAAGAAGGGTGGAGAGTTCCTCGTCGATCCGTCTGCGATCCTGGAGTGAAAAGCAGATCGGTCGAGGAGGGGGAATGTGTATCATATGTTCTATGAGTTTTATGTGGAAGCCCCGGATAGTGGCCAGCACCCAGTGGTCTGATGTTATTTGTGACCAGGCTGGGAAAAAATGTTGGAGTCTGCACCCTACACAAACCAGAGAAGTATGAGGTATGAGGTAACTCACCATATGGTCATCAAGAACTGGAGTTGCCCCGGAAACCTCTGGATCACCATGGACGTCCGCGTGACGGGAAGAAGGTGGGACGGGGGTTAGATTCCTGGTACTGCGTACGCTGCGGAAAGGAGCCTCTTCCCGTGCCACGGGATTGGGAGTAATTACGGCCGGACAGACGGCTCCTGAATCTGCCGGCCCTGGTGGAGACCCGCCCCTGAAAAACCCGTCTCATGGAGGCCTGGGCCTTATCGAGGGCTGTGAATGCCCCAACAAAACGCCCTAAATCTTTAATAAAGGAATCGCCGAAGAGCAATCCTTGGACGTCCTTGCCAGCCTCTGTGAGGGCGAGATTGGCCAGTTTGGGCTCTATCTTAAATAAGATGGCTTTTCGCCGTTCAATCGAGAGGGAGGTATTCACACTCCCAGCAATACATATTGCTCTCTGGACCCAACCACGTAGGTCTTCAGGGTCAACCATGCGGTTCTCCGCTCTGGCGTCTTCCGCCAAGTCAAATAATTTGGCCAGGGGGCCGAATATGTCCAGGTGTTTATCCTGGCAGGATTTTAAAGCAGATTCCAGCCCTTTACGGGGGTTCCAGACCAATTTAGTGAGGAACTGGGTCATCTTGGGGTCTACCTCAGGAGTGTCGCAAACTTTATTGGGCACCACAGGCCTAGGACACTCCACCCTCAATTTGTTGCGGGCTGCTTTACTAAGGGGGCGCCTGACCCAATTTTCTAGATACGTGGCAACGTGGTCGGCCGGGAGCCACTCTGCCGATCTCGGATGGTGTAGGTCATCCGGGTCAAAGAGTGGGACACCCGCGGCCGCGGGGTGCCTAGTCCCTGTACTACCTCCGGACATCTCTGCTTGAGCAGAGGAAATGAGGTCAAAGCCTGTATCAGCGGCATCCGCATCAGAGTCACTGTCCAACTCAATCTTAGCTTCCTCATTTGACCCGATTTCTGAGTCGAAGTCGCTCTCTAACTGTGCTCTGGCACATTTCCATAGTCGCGCCCGTTCTGCCTGGCGCGGAAAGGCTCTTTTGCGTGGATGGGACACGCTTTCTGGGGTGACCGTAGGTATGCCAGTCATGGTGTTTCTGGAGGCAGAGGGGTGTTTAGACTTATGGGTAGCCGTTTTAGGTGTTTCTCCCTGTGGGTTCACACTGGGACGCGATAGAGGCGTCGTGGAGCCCGAGTATTGCTCGTCCGAAGGACGTTGCAAGATGGCCTGTGAAATGGTGTGGGAGAGGGTAGATTACATAGACCCCATGGCCGCCACAATAGCGTCTGTCACCGAGCGCTGTAGCGCTAAGAACTGTGCCCCATCAGGGTGGGTAGTTCTATCTGGCAGAGTGGGCGAATTGCCTGAGGTGACAGGGGCCTCACTCATACTCAGTGGGGTATCAGACTCCCCAGGGGGTGTGGAACCAGAAGTTAGTCTGGGTTTAGGCATGATAAGTGTAGCCAAAAATGAATCCCTAATAAAAGGAGTAGTATGGGTTAGTCACCCAAACAGCAATAGCAAGGAAAAAACTATCTCACCAGGGCCCAGACCAGTGGCATACTCAGATACAGGGTAGGAGAGAAGACAGGAAGTCAGAAAATGGCCGCCAGTAATCTCGCGTGATTCGCGTAAAAAAAAACGAACGTTCGTCAGGTAAAAGAAACAAATTTGTGAACTAGATAGGTAAGTATAAGGAAACGTAGAACAGGCGAACGAGCCATTCGCGTGAAAAAAGTCGAATACGGCAAACAGGCGAACGGCGCTATCTGCCGAATGGTGAGTGGTATGTATGCGCAGCGAATCAGCCCAATGGGCTTAATTCGCGCGCGCACACAGCCGGATAGGGGAGAAAAACCACGCACAAAATGGCGCTGAGGTACAGGGAGGACGGAGGAGACGAAGGATTAGGTTAAAGGCAGAATAGTGTGACTGGGGAGGTCTGGACCCTGGGCACAATAAGAGAAACACACAGGAGCATAAAGCCAATATAAAGGATAAGAGCAAAATCTAAATAAAATAGCATCAATACTATACAAAGTTGTATGAGTATAATACTAGTTATAAATAAAATAAAGCAACACAGTATAATACCAGTTACCAATAAGTAACTAAATAATAAATCAATAAGAAAAACAGTAGAATTGAATAATATCAATAGGACAAAATGTGACATGTACTTATCTTTGTGTCGGATTAAGAAAGAGGGAAATGGAAGGGAAGTGCTGCCTATTATACTGGGACCTGAGCGGGGAGGGGCCTATGTTCTGTATGTTCATTATTTTTCATTCTGTTTGTATTTTTTGCTGCTATTGGTGGACAGTAAAGAAAGGGATATGCAATATGAGCCTCCATATCTTGTTATAAAATCCTTAGTTTCTCGCGCAAAAAAACCCCCAGGTTTTCTTTTGATGCCTTCCACATATTTATTTCATAGCTGAATTTTCACGCCCCTACTATTTTTTATTATTTCAGTACACACTATCCCGATATCCTGCATAGCGATTAAAGTGATAGAAAGGTTTAACACACATTTGCAGGGGTTTGTTCTCCCTTTGTACCAAAATGTTTAGCTATATATCTTTTTTATGATTAGAAAAATAATTACTGTATTGTGTAAAGCCCACTGTATTTTGTAAAGTGTATTATAACAACTAGTCATACAGTTATGGAGCATAACGGGAATGTTCTCGCTTCCAAACCTCTGCAACCAGTAAATCGTACTCCATTGAGTTTGATGAGGTAACTGAGGATGTGTTTAAAATATGCCCCTCCATCAAGGGATCTGCAACTGCAGCCGTAAAGCCACCTACATATCAATATCCACGTTCTTAGTGATAAGTAAATCATGCAATATTTGCATTTTATCTCAATTTGGAAATATACAGCCCTCTTTTTAAAAAATATATTTTTCTTAAGTAACTCTCAGTAGATAAACTTAAAAGGAATGTGTGTCTGTCCAATTTAAACAGATGACTGCATGCATCGTGTTTGCTGATATTGTTTATTAAAGGGACACTTCCAGCTCCCTGTTCATACCTTTGTATTCTTCCAATATAAATAGAATAAGTCTGTAGAGGTTAGGGGAGATAGTAAGGAAGTGAAGTTTGGAATATTATATCCCATCCACCCTGATATCTACAACATTTTCACTATTTATGATTGAAGAATAGAAATATATTCTTTGTATTTATTTAGGTTAAGTATTATTTTTTTTTCTTGTTCCCTGTTCGAGTCTGGTGATTCATTTCCACTTTTGGTACTTGGAGGGGGGTCCACAGGACTCTGAACAACTTTAGCTACAAGGCAGGGGTGAATACCTGATAAAGATTTTATCTCTGATTTTGAGCCTTTCCAGCAATTATATATTGGTTACGTAAGGAAAGCAGAGTCTTTAATGCAAAGAAAAGTTGATTTGGAAATGTGATCTGGAAAGCAAGACACAGATAGAATTGGGACTAAAAAGGAATTAGTCTGGGGAAAAAAGTGCTCAAGATTAAGTAATTAAGAAGGAAACTGGGTATAACAAGGAAAGGCAGCAGGAAGGGAAGGCTGTGTTAAGAAAAGAGGCATTTATAAGAAAAGGTGGGAGTTTAGAAAGGAAGAGGACTGGTAAAAAATAATAATTTTTAATTGGGTTTGTAGACGAAAGTTTTGGATGCAATAGTAAAAGAAATATCAAGGAGGTTGATAAACCTATAAGAGTTTATAAATAGGTGGATCCAGATAAAGACAATTGAGGTTACCGGTATGTAGTCTATTTCAGACCAGATGATGTCTGAAATTAGCTTATGTTGAGGCAGTGTATGAGTAAGATGTGTGGTATCATAAGAACAATATGATCTAAGTATAAAAAAATAAATCTGTTAAATACATGTCACTGATTATAATGATGTGTCTGTGAATGCATGTATTTGTGTTGAATTGCTGTATTTGTGTTGAGTGTACATTGATGTGGTGTTTTGTGTGTATGAGTATTTGTATCCACCTCTTCTCTGTTCATGAAGTTGCAGCATGGCTTAATTATAATTATGAATAAAACTACTGCCAAATGCACTACCTATGCTGAGCAATGGTTTGCAAAATGCGCTCAGTGCCCTATTAAGAAGAATGACAGAGCCAAGATTGAACAAAAAGTCTCCGTTCTTACAGGGTTATCTACCAAAGTGAGAACTGCTGGGTATTTAAAGTGAATTTCAAAATGTAGGCCATTTTAGAAAAAGTAAATTCTGTTTTCACATTGTCTATTTTGGTTTTACATTTGGAATTTACTTACAATTCCTGACAATCCTCACTTAAGAGAATAACCCTGTTAGTTTCAGGAGTTCATAAATGTGGGCACTTCAAATGTAAATTGCTTTAAAATGCAAAATCTATTAAATATATTGGGAATGAGGATCAACGCTAGCCTGGAAATTACATTTAATGAATATCCACCATACTTTTAGTAAGATAAAGCAAGAATTTGGGAGTGGTGTTCCCCAGAAGGAATTCATTTTTTTTACGCGTAAATAAAGCTCTCACTCTGTTTATATGATTTTTGTATTTACATGTATGTTAACGTGTGCACAGTGTGCCCAAATCACGTTGTTCATTACAAACATAGAGTAATATAGTCGGTTTGTTAATACAGTGGGTTTGTTCTGGCCAACCGATTAAAGACAGCTAAAATATAGTTGCAAGATCAGATTTATAAACTTTTATAATACTCGGAATTACAAAGAAACATGTTTACAGATAACACAAGTCCATTTATATATATATTAGACAAAGTATTGTTTAGGTAGACTGGGACCTGTTTATCCTACTCTCTGATATACAAAGTCAGTAGAATAAAGAGTCTTTTAAGCATTTTTATGAGATATTGAAGGTGTTAAAATTACATTACATACAGACATTGAGGGCACTGCACTCTTCCTAATATTATGGTGTTGGGGGATAGAAAAGATGGTAAATTAGATGGTGTGAAAAACCAAAAGGTTAATTATATATATATATATATATATATATATATATATATATATATATATATATATATATATATTTATTAAATACAATATTAATATAAAAAGATATAAATAAGCATTTTATGTGCATGTAACATGAAAACAGTGGTTCCGTGTATTTGCAGAATCCTCAATATGCTCTGCTGGTGCTCCAGTGTCAGCTTAATTAACTCTTGCACTGCGTAGAAACTCATTTTGGCACATTAGTAATCTGGCTTGTGCAATTACAAAATCCAGACCATTCTGATGTGAAGTGTATTTTTCTTTTTTCAGGAAGTTGTCACATTCACACCAGCACTTTGTGTGTAGCCCTTCAGTCCGTCACCATGCAGAACCTGATCCTCTTTTACAGGAGCTACAACAACATGAAGATGAGAAGTAAGTGCATTGACATACAGATATTCTTGGAGCACTGACTGTAGAGTTGAAATGCAACTTCATATAACTCAGGGCTTGACAAATTTGTTTGGAATCTAGAAGGCAGCTAAAAAATTTAGGAGCCAGTTTTTTCAGAGAAAAGGCAGTGTTTACATTGCTGCCTAGTAACACCTCTAGTGACAGTCACTGAGACACCACTAGAGAGTCCTGTGTCACTGCTGCACGGTGTGCAGCACCTTTGTTCAGTGTCTCCATGCTCTGCTTGGAGGTGCTAAATTTTACATATAGAAAACATGCACAATATCCTCCCAATGCTTTCCCACAGGAAAGCATTGGTTTAGTGGACATCTTAAAGATGAAATATATCTCACCCATGAAGGCAGGACAAGCCGTGGAAAGCTGGCATGGCGTGGGAAAGAAGGTGAGTAAAAACACCTCTCTCGTGATTGGAGGGGTGCAGGTACCTAAACAGACACAAGAAGACACACTTTCTGACACACACACACACACACTCTCTCTCTCCCGCACACACATACTGACAGAGAGACACACATACACATACTGACACAGAGAGAGAGAGAGAGAGAGACACACACACACATTTTCCATTTTAATTTGAATCCACCCAGCCACCCTACCTTTGGGAGAGCTGAGTGGACTTTCCCCTGGGGTCCAGTGGGCTGCTTGCTCATCCTGCATGTGAGGGAGCAGTGATCTTCAAGCTCCTCCTCTCTACTCCCTGTAGTGATGCCGGGAGCCGGAATGACATCATATTCCAGCTCCTGGCATCATTAAACAGTGCTGGTGAGCCGCTTGAAGATCACTGCTCCATTGCACGCTGCCCCAGCAGACCACAGCGATGCTCCCCAGGGCGGCTGCCTGCACGCTCCCTGAGCCGGCTGTCCACGTTCCTTAGGGCGACCGGCCGGCTCCATTGTTCCCTTATCCTGCCTTTAGCTAAAAGGCTTTAAATCCCAGGCGCCTGGGATTTGTCGAGCCCTGATAAACTTATTAGGTCCTCAATCCCTCTGCTCCTTTGCCAGTGTCTACGGATGCCATTATATCCATTTTGATTGGCTTTCCATGTTCATATTATTCTTTTAAACAACTTAATACATACATGGTGGTACCATATTCCTTTCTCTGCCTTCATTTTTACTTGCTGATTTTTATCCCGGACCTAGTCTGTCTCCTCCATTCTCTCATCTCAAGCTTATTATTACCCTCAGTCTGTCTCACCTACTTGCTTCTTAACACAAAGTCTGTCTTTACAATTATTGGACAACATACCATTTCAGGTGGCATAATCCGTAAACATTCTATATTTTCCTTTGCCCATCATTTCTCCAGTGTAATTCTTTATTGAATATGTTACACTGATCACAGTCATTCTCTTCTGTTTATAGTTTGGGTAGATGTACTGGTTATGTGATGCAAATGCAAAATAACAGAATAATGTATCATCTTGTAATATTTTAGTGGACTAACAGTACTTTAGAACAACTGGCTTTTGGAGTTACTTAAAATTTCATAAAGGGGGTAGGTTTTACCCTGCAAAATTAATTTGTTTTATCTGCTAGGTGGGACACTGTTTCTAAAGTCCTATCAATGCAAATCATTAATATTTAAAACTTTATATGTTAATGTATAACATATCTAAACCCTAAGTCACTTATATCTAAACGACTTGAGGGGTCTAAAGGCATATAGCTATCCTAGGGTGCTGTGCAAGCTCCCTCCCCAAACACATTCACACAATACTACTCCTGGGCACAGAGCCAGGAATGTGGCCTGGAGCCATTATCTGGCCTTCCCCAGCTCACATGAACCACTTCACCAAATAACTCCGGTCATTAGGGTCACCTCCCATGCAGACACAAGGCAGTCTTTTCTACACAGTGATGCTTTAACCATTCATTGCCAGAACTATAAAATGTAGTAAGATCTCAATCAGTACCAATGAATAACAGGCATAAGCTCTGCAACAGTTCAAAATAAAAAACTCAAATTATTGATGTTTGCCATGTTGAAGGTTGCATTTGTAAAGTGTTGAAGATTCATTAAAGTGCAAGTTGTTTATGTTTTTGTCAGCAGAATGCAGTTGTGTGCTTCTGATACAGTGTTGCGTGTCCTAGCTGACAGGCTCAGAGTGCTTAACTATATGAGAATCTGGCTATGCCAAATCGCTCTAACCTTCTCTGTGTGGCTGAATCAACATTGGATTGTTATGTGAATTTGGCACAGTATAACAGAATAGCAATGACAATGTTACATGGGTACTAGCTCTCATGGATAATCCCTTAAATGTGTTTGGCCAAGAGTGTTGTGAAGGTCATCTCCTGTCCAAATTAGTCTATGGTATCTTGAGTGCAGTCGTATCCTTTAAAGCTGGACACTGGAGATTTTGGACTTATCATACTTTGTTTTGTGAGTCCACAGCTTCCCGAGTGCATCCCTTAATGCAGTCCCTAACCAGTGTGTACAGAGATGTCAATGTTTACCACCACATAAAAGAGAGCACTCTTGAATGATGCTGTAAGAATGTTCTCCTTTTACAGATGTAGAGTTGTATCAATGTTACACACTGTAAAAGCAGCGTTCCACTGATCTATAGATTTTTCAAGAGGCAGCACCTTTACCTTACCAAGAGTTAGCCCAAACACCATGACCACATCAGTGTTTTGTTTATGTTGCTTGGAGTGTGTATATGCCAGGGGTAGTCAACCTTTTCATACCTACCGCTCACTTTTGTATATTTGTTGATGGTAAAATTTCCTCTTTTTTTTTGTGTAATTGCGACAATTTTTTAGTGTAATTGCGACAATTTTTTTTAGAAAGGAGGGCTTATAATGTTTTTAACTTTTAAACTTAAATGTGAAAACCATAAAGTAAATTGAAATTACCTTTAACTGATTAAAGGACCACTATAGGCAACCAGACCACTTCAGCACAATGAAGTGGTCCGGATGCCAGGTCACCCTAGTTTTAACCCTGCAGCTGTAAACATAGCAGTTTCAGAGACACTGCTATGTATACATTGATGGTTTATGTCAGGGAGACAGCCACTAGAGGCCGCTTCCGCAATCTTCAATGTGAAAATCGCATTGAGGACACGCTGGAATTCCATAGGAAAACATTGAGTAATGCTTTCCTATCGGCGGTTTGAATTTGCGTGCGGCTCTGGCCAGCCTGCTTGCGGGAAGAATACAAGAGTAAGGCTTATTACATGTTTCATGGTAGTTCCGACCTGGGTAATGGTGGGCAGTTCCTAACCTCTGATAGAAAACTGTTTCCCCACGCAGGGGTAGTGTTGTATACTTGGTATATGGTTTGAGATGTGGGGTTGTTTCATCAGCTTTGCAACATTAGCCTACGCAGAGGTTATAACGTATGATCCCTGGGATTTTTGAGGCCGGCATATAGTTTTGTATTATACCTTTCATAAGCAGATATGTGGTCTCATGGGGCATAGCGACTATGGTGATATTGTTTTACGATATATTGCATAGTGGTCTCTATTGTGTGCCTTCCATAGGGAATTGGTTAGCCGATGTTAGGGTGCTATTTAAGGTATCTAGGTCAGGTTTCGTAGAGGAGTAAAGCGGTCCGTCTGTATTGGTTTCCTTGTAGGAGCGTCCGTGTTCAGAGTCCGTGTTGGGGCGCCCTTGCGTTTTTTCTCTCAGTTCGAGGCTGTCTCCAGGTTAGGGCCAGTCGGGGGTATCTCTGTGTGTTGTGATAGTGGGGGGTGTGTTCTTGTGTGTGTGCCGCTGGTGGTGTTGGTTTAGTAGTTTGGGGGTGATAGCTTATGGTCCCGACGGGTGGGGGGCTCGTTTGGCGGGTTTCTATGGGTAGTGTCAGCCCCCCTTTATCTAGCGTGGTGCCCTGGTCCTTGAGTCTGGTCTCATCCACCCTGGATCTCGGTCTCATCCTTCCCATGTCCGCGGTCGGGGTTCAGTGTTGGTTCAGGGCAGGTTCGTGTCTCGACTCATGGGACAATGTGCGCGTCGGGGGTGCTGAGGTATCGTGTGATTGTGTAGGGGGTAGGTCTTGGGTGTCCTCCCTCCTCCTCTCCGCTTGGGCGTGATGTTGTCACTTGTGTCTTGTGAAGGTTAGGACCATGGAGATGGGTCGGGTGTTCTGTGTGGTACGGCGTGGTCCTGTGGTGGCATGTCTGTGTTCGTTCTATCTTTGTGTTTTGTGGGGGGGGGGTTTGTCATGTTCCTTGGGGGGGGTTAGGCGTGTGGTCTTCCCACGGGGCCGGAGCCCCCGCGCCCCGCCAGCGCCCGGCCCCCCCTCGGTACAGTCTGTTGCATGTGTTCCCATTGCGGTCTTCGGGTGTCACTGCCTTGGTCCTCAGGTGTCCTGTCTCCAGGGGTGTGTGCCGTGGTCTCCTGGTCTGCGAGGTGTGTTGCCCTGTGATCCGTAGGCCCTCAACCGTCGTTGTCCGTCCTTCGTGGGTGTGGTCCTGGGTTTTGTCTAGCGGTTAGCCATTGTAGCCAGTGGAACCATGTCTTCAGGTACGTCTGGGGTCTTCCTTTTGCTGTCAGGATCATTTTGGGGTAACTTTTAATGCAGGCAAAATGGAAGAACATGACATG